AAAGTAGTATTCAATCATATTACTGCTGCTATGTGTTCATGTGTAGGGTATCAAATAAACCTTCTTATGAAAAAAAGCTGTAAGGAGGGTCACGTGTCTAACGCTAGGCTGCCTCGGTAAAGAGGTTGACCTTCTAAATATGTTACTAACCTCTAGATAACTAATTTGAAAAACATCATAAAGTATTTTTCATGCCAAAACAAAAAGCGAAGGAAACGATGAGCTCCGAAAAAAATTCTAGTTCCCCGCAGTCGGCAGCCCATTATCTTTCCTATAAGTTTACCAGAGAGCTACAAATTAGTAATTACTTAATATTTATAAATATTATCAACAAAATATATACATGATATCAAACATAAAGTAGCTTGCATTGCAATGAATTTATTTGACATTCGTAAAGTGCTTTGATGAGAGACCCTTGATTGAATTTTTTCTCACAAAAGAATCTCGGAGATATTTAAGAATATTGAGGAAACCTATATTATTTATTTAAGAAATTTTAAGGTATACTACGGTGAAATTGAAAGAACAACTGACTACCCATAATTTTTTGATCCAAAGCTGTTTGCAATTTTCTTTTTGCATATGCTGATTGAAAAGATATGATGTTATATTTTCATAATAAGAACGAAATCAGGTTAGTGGACTAGACTAAATAGAACATGCTTCAAAATATTTAGGATTTGTGTTATAAAAAAAAATTTAAAAAAAAAAAGCCTTTTTCTTTTACCTCAATTCTGCCCAGTTGGTCTTAAGTCCTTGGTAGAAGAGATGAAATATGCTGCTGCTGCTGCTATATAAATATAATATTCCAAGGTGGCCACACTTGAAGGAAATCCTACCAAAATAATTAACACTGTTGTTCCTACACAACACAGAACGAACAAAGGAAACTGAAGAAGAAAAAATTAACGAATTCGAAGACAAACATTACAAGGAGAACGCACAAAGGATCCGCTAAAAAGATTAGCCGTTGGCCTTTTCTTCTTTCTCCTGACATGCTTTCGCTTTATGGACTCAAGGACTTGATTAAAAACGTCTTTTAGTTTTCAATTACGATCTGTGAGATCAGATATTTATCAAAACAGACCCTTATTGAATTTCGTACAGAATAATCCCGATTATGAAAGAGGATGAGCCGAAAGTACTTAGGTGAGCTCGGCAGGTATTTGATGGAAATGGTTTGAATCATTTATTACTCATCCTTATCAGACATAATAAGAATTCGGACAAAATACACCTCTTTGAAACGATCGTGACTAAAACATATTCAAAAATAGATTTAAAAAACAACCCCTTTTGGCAACGAGTTTTAAAAAGCACTCAAAATATCATTTCCATTTGATAGTATCAAGTATAAGCTAAAGAAGAAGACTGGCAGTGATAAAATGCTCAAAGCATTATTCATTAGGCAAAGCAACCATTGCTCTTTAAATTACTAATTCTGTTGTCGATTAGACAATTCGCTGTATAAAGCTAAAGAAGAAGACTGGCAGTGATAAAATGCTCAAAGCATTATTCATTAGGCAAAGCAACCATTGCTCTTTAAATTACTAATTCTGTTGTCAATTAGACAATTCGCTTTATGGTCATTCCCTGGTCATTATCGCTTCAAAATATTTCCCCTTTCTTTGTTAATCCCAAGATTTAAAAAAAAGAAAAGAAAAAGCGATTAGAATGATAACCATAAATATAGATTTGTGGAGGGCCTTGAACCACAATAACCAGATTGCCAGTAAACAATGGAATCAAAAGGAATGCCCCGTAATGTTGCGATATACTCAGATAATTAGACAAATTGTATTAGATAAAAAGACAAAGATTTCACCGACAAATTTCATCAGATTCTCTCAGGTTTCTTGTCCGTTTCCTTTTCCTTCCATTTTTCCCATTTATTTCCCATTTTTTAATTCCTTACTTTAGGTTTCGTTTGCTTTCGTTTCGCTTCGCTTCGTTTCGTTCCGTTTCCACTCCACTCCACTCCACTCCACTCCATTCCATTCCTTTCCCTTCCCTTCCCTTCCTTTCCATTCCATTCC